CAAAGCACTCAGATTTTGTCCACGTTTCTTCAGTTACAAGAAGCAAACATAGCCATAATAGAATTCAAAGAAAAAGAATAAGCCATAAATAATTAGCTAGTGAAACTTTTTATTTAAAATTTACTGAATGCAGTAGGATATCAGAATAACATTATGATAGGTGTAAAGAAACACACAACACCAATAAACATAAAACTTGGACATATATAGCAATCAAGGAACCCCCTCCCTCATTTAAATATTCAATATTCAAACTGAATTGACCCTTAGGACTTAAGCACCTATTTTATGATTGAAACACTGGAGCAACTAACCTCTGTATACCACCCAAATTTTAATATTCACATTAAATTAAGGTTATTTGTCTGCTGTGAACAAATACAGCGTGATTGTATTTCAAAGTCAGCTGTCATCTGTGCTACTGTGGAGCTTCAGTCAAAATTGGTGGTTAACGGATCTGTTTTGCACGTTGAGAAGAAGCAGGGACACATATAGGTCAGAGGACTGACCTATATGTGTCAGTGTTCTGCTGTCTGAGAATAATGATCTCCTGAATTATTTGCCTGAAAACCTGAGAAACACTAACAGAGTCATAAATACCTCAAGGAGTCTGGATTGCCTTCAGGATGGTTGCTGAACAGTGTCTTACTGTGATTTTAAGTGTCTGTAAGAAATGTGGATGACATTTCTCCTTATTTGTCCTCCAGAAATAAGTGTTCTCACTAGCCAATAATCAAATGGCAGAAGTTTTTAATGAATAAAACATCTGTTTTATGGTTTTGTCCATAAGCTATGTAAAATGATGAGATCATTTTTTTTTCCAACTTAATCTCTGTTCATAGTTAAGAAGAGAGTTTGTTTTTTGATGTTGTGGGATACCATGCTCATTGTGACATGGCAGGCTGGTATAACAGCAGAGAGAAGGACAAGGCCACAGTTTGTTCTGGCCTTTTCCTGTCAGGGCCTCTGTATGTTTATGCTGTGGTTTTGCCACCCATTCAAGCTTGAAGAACTGAAATAAACAAGCCATGAGAGCAATAGAAAAATAAGTCAAAGAAGTGGGTGCACAATATTTTTAGCACATTTCTTCTGCAAGCCCGAAACTCTAGTATGTAGTTGTCTCACTTTTTTCACAAACCATTTTGTATAAAAACAGCAGTCCCAGCCCCGAGCAGATATGTGCACTCTCGGAACCTCCCCAAGTACTCCCTAATTACCATTTTCTATCCCAAGGTCATGGTGGAATGCGTTCCAAAATGGATTAGGTTCCTACTCTCACGCCACCATTCTCATTTCGCTCTTTCTTGCCATTCTTGCCCCTTTATTGCTTTCATTCCCCTTTCTTCTCAGCAATCTCCACTCTGTCTAATGACTTACACATGTTAACCAAATTGCCTACAGCAGCAAAGCAGTGACAAAATGTAAATGTTCTGGTTCTCCGTCACATTCTCCAATCACAGTGTTGTTTACAGTATGCAATGCCAACCCTTTGGCACCCCACACAGTCAGTATAATTCATTCAGCTGTTGCTTGTATTTATAATTGTGATCTGTTATCAGTAAGAAAAAAGTTCACACCCTCCTTTTATTAGGAAGGCTACATACTTTTACTTATTTAAAGCTACCAACCAAACTTTTCTTTAAAAATCAAACTCGCTTCAAATTTAGCTTAACTGTAGAAGACATGTCATAAATTTTTCGAGTTCATGGGCTATTTTATTGCATTTAATTTACATAACCTTCCACTCCAACATGCCTCTGGTAATAACATATATGGCATAAGAAAAGTGATCACACTAGTTCAATTTGTAGTTTGTTTCCATACACCCATCTTGGAAACAAAAATGGGGGTGAGGTCCATCTTTGGACCCCCACACCCCTTATTTTTCAACATAAGACGTTCGACTACTTATGCTGAAGATCTCGTGTAGGATGATATATTCAAACATACAACGTAGCACCTGTTGGGCAGTGAAACGTCTACTGATTGCTTCAACAAGGAACCAACTAGTGATAGTCAGATTCAGCATACCTTCACATCCTATACCTAATTTGTTTTTATTATTATATCTGAGATTGTTTTCTATTGTGTTTGGGAGCTTGATGTGAGGGTTTAGCTGCAGATTGAGAGTGCAGGTGCAGGTCACATGCAAATTAAATTTGTGCGTCAATCCAATTTCTTTGATATGCATGTATGCATGCGTGTATGTGAGTAATGTGTCTGTGTGTGTGTGTGGGATTTGCAGGTGTGTGTGTGTGCATGGGGTGGTGTATGTGTATATATGTATTAAAGAGAGTTTGTGTGTGGCCTTTGAACTCTTTTCATGGTGTATAAATACTTTTATAATTAGCAGGTGAGAAATGACCCATAAGACAACCCTTGTACCCTGGTGGTGTACAGCCCACATGGAAATATAAACAAAAAAATCACTTTTTCTAATGTGATTCTTTGTTTAGGAAAAGTCATAAAATTTCAAGTCGGAAAAAGATAGTTTAGCATATTTTTTCTACAGATAGACATGGTAATGGGTCACTTTTGACCCGCAAGACAACACAAGGGTCAAGCTAATAAAGTAAGTCAATGCAATAGGAGCTAAAATTGCATGAAGTCCAACTGTACTACCCGTTATTTAAGGCAGTGATGTCCAAAGGGGGCCATTTTCCATCCTTGCAATAATGTTGTTCAGATCTCCACACTACAACTAAAGGAAAGTTTAGTTTTAACTTTCTTTACAACTAAAGAAAGTTACTCTGCTTGTATCTAACCCACCAGCATAAGGGTCAGATGGACAATTTAAGATATTTTTCCTGCAAATTTTTTATTGAAAAATTATAATCTTCTCAAAACCAGTAGGTATAACATAAATTAAGCTGCACAGTGGTGCACTGGTGCAATGTAACAGTTGGTAGCACTGTTACATTGCAGTAAGAAGGTCCTGGGTTTGATTCCCAGCCCGGCGTCTTTAAGCATGGAGTTTGCATGTTGTCCCTGTGTATGCATGGGTTCTCTCTGGGTACTCTGGCTTCCTCCCACAATCCAAAAACATGACTGTTACGTTAATTGGTTTCTCTAAATTGCCCTGAGATGGAATGATTACCTCTCCAATGTGTACTCTGTCTCTCACCCAAAATGTCTCACTGGAGATAGGCACCAGCACCCCTCCTGACCACACTGTGGACAAGGGTGTAAGAAAAGTCATTTATCAATCACTTTTTTCAAAGCAAGTCTAATTACATTCAATGATTTTTATGCAAGACAAGACTTGGCCACAACTATTCATTAAAATTAAATGCATGCACCAAGCATTAAAAATAAATACATGAAAAAAAGAAGACAGAGACTATTTCTTTTCTCTTTTTTTAATGCTATAACCCACAACATCTTTGCAGTTGCATACCCTTATTTATTTACATGCTTATTTATTTATTTATTTATTTTTTAATGTTGTTGATCTACAGTGAGTTGAACCAAGCGTTTGGACTAAAATGATTCTTTTTTTTAATTTTTCTTTGGACATTGCATATTTAGTTTATATTTGAACAGGTAAAAATTGCTATATTTCTTACTTTGAATTAGGAAAAAATATCTGTGTTGTCTGCAAGTACTTTGTGGTCTATCTGGCAAAAAGTTTGAATATGATCTGTTCAGGGTTAAAGCATGGGAATTGGCATTTACTCATTTTGTATGCACAAAAACTAGTCAGAGTAAATTAAAGAGATTAAGATTAGACTTGTAGAAGTCATGAAGACAGTCACTGCCAAAGGCAAGGGGTTTATCAGAGCTCAAACATGTGAAGCTTCACATGCCTTTACTACTATGCCAAGTAGTAAAGACTTGGCATAGTCTTTACTACATGCTATGAATGGTGTTCCAATTACATCTCTTGTAATAGCATCAACCTGAACTGACACAACAATTTTGCTGTTGTTTCCTCAATTAACCTTTCAAATGTTGTATTTTTTAAACTATACAAAACAATTCCATATACTACTACCATGTTGTGTTTCTTTTGTCAAGACATATGTATTAATGTTAGAAAATGCACAACAGTAACAACAGGGTCTTTGAAATAAATAAAACAAAAGCTTTACTTTTGTTCTAAAATATTTTTCCCTTAATCAAAAGTTTTTCTGTGAGTGTAATCCTGAAAGAGCTTCATCTGTAAAATGTTTAGAACAACAAACGCCTTTGTTGGTTAAAAGAAACGTCTGCAGCAGGGCAAAGATGCAGGTGTTTGTCTGATCTCCAGGTGAAAAAGTGTGTAGCAGCTGTGATGTAAGCACACTTGTACATGTCATCAACAATGGCTGACTTAGAAGCAGAGCCCTCAGGACACAAATACCACAAAGCAGCTGTACCTTGAGCAAAAAGGCTAAATCTGTTTATGCCCCCTGGCAGAAGATGCCGAACAACAAAGCGAACATATTGCCTTTTGCTTCTGTCTGTGCAAGTCACTCGCAAGCATCATTCCATATGTTTCACATTATAATGGTGCACCATAACCCAAAACAGCAAGAAACCCCAAATTACAGCCACAGTAAGAAATACAATTCACTGTATAAGACTGAAAACATAAGGTCCAGCCAAGCTGAAAAGACTCCAGTTCAAATGCTTTCATTGGCACTATCACAGTGTGTAAAACACACACACAAATATAAACATACATACATACATACATACATACATACATATACATACATACATACATACATACATACATCAGTTTCTGATAAGTTTTAATGACTTCATTATTTGACTTTACAACCCACTTTTGGCCCACACACATTTCTGAAGTTTGGCTAAAAACAAATTGCCCATCTTTCTGCTCTGGCATGAAGAGAACATAGTCCAGTTTACCCAATGTGACGGAGCAACAGGCTAGATAGATGCACGGAAAAGTTTCAAATAAATCACTCAAGTCTCTTTACTTTAATTACTGACCCACGCGACTTCAAAACCCTTCATGCCAAGAAAAAGAGTCCTAAAAAAATGTGACTTACCTTTTAAGGAAAAGAGTTGTTCCCCCCGCCCCTCTCAGGATTTTAGATTCTTTTAGTCAAAGTTGCTGACAGAGAATGAGTGCACTGAAGTCCAAAGAGCCCCCAGTCCGTCAGACAAGCTTAGTGCGGGGTGAGAGACTCATCTTCCTCTGCTGGAATGTGATCTCGGGGTGATCCGAAGCCCTTCGGCGGGTTTACTTTCGCTCAAATGAATCCGGAGCTCTCTTTGGCTTTGTTTTTGTTTTTTGTTTTTTCCCCCTTCTCGGTGATAAAATGGAAGTCCTTGTTTCCCGAACCTCCGCTCCTCTTGTTGATTCTGTTTAGATGACTTCCTCCAGCCCAGGTAGCCACTGAAGCCGCCACAAGTTCTGGCAAGGAGATATTCCTCCCACTGCGCCGCAAAGACTCTCTTCTCTAACTCCCGCCCCCTTTTTCCCTTTACCTCCCCTCTCTGAGGCCTCCCTTCATTTGTGTTCTCACCGTCACTTCTCTCCCAGTAGCCATCCCCCACCACTGGAGACCCTAAAAGCTAACATAGAATGTTTAACCCCCGTCTAATCCCCCCCCCCCCAAAAAAAAAAAAAAAACAAAAAAAAAAAAAAACAACTAATAAACAAACAAAAAAAACAACTACTTGTTTATCAACATTTATGACATTCTATTTTAAGATAGTATGTTATCTATTCAATATGTTTTATACCTGCTATTCAACTTTTGTTTTCCTGTAAAATAACCATGTTTTTTTTATTTCTGTTCATGTTTTTGAGCAAAGAAAAATAAACTTTTCTAAGGAGACAAATAAAAGTGGAACCAGAAAAAGGTGAGACACTTATGGCTTGTGTTAATACAAAAACTAAATGCATCAGATGTTGTTTTTATGCACTACTTTTTTTACTTGTGTGTTATACTGATGGAATGCTGTTTACAAATGCCAGCTTATTGTTGAAATTGTCTTTAAGTCTTGTTTATTTATTTTTGTATTGTATTATTAAGACACTTTGAAACATGAAAATATATTCATAAATATTCTTGACCTCTACACTTACCCTACCTTCTGTATTTCTAATGTAAAACTGAATGCTTAAAATTTAGTTTTATTTGTAAGCTAAATAGAACCAGCTTTTGAATATTTGGGAATATGATTTGCAGCAATACAAGGAAAAGTTCTAATTTTGTTAACTCTGTGTGAGTTGATTTGTAGTTTTTTAATACTTCTGATGGTAGTATTTCTGCTTATGACATAATTTAAAACAGAAGTCTTCAAAGATGGAAGATTAAGCTTCAAATGTTTTTGTATGTCTATTGATGTTTGGATATGTTGGGTATATATGTAAGAAGTGTGAAAAGAAGCAGAAATATAACTTTTAATGGCAATTTTATTTGAAATTATGCTAAATATTTCAGATCTGCATAGTAACAACAAAACATGCAGTAAAAATAAAATACATGAAAGAAGTTGCAATAAATTCTGATTTAAAGAAATTTCCAAAAGAATCAATTGTAGGTACAAGGAGTTATGAGTGTTAACTGTGGTATTAAAAACAAAATGAAATCAAAGAAACTTTTTTTATATTGCAATAAACCAATAACATAGAGGGGTTGTATAATTTATAAAAAACATTTGTGGTGTCAAAAGAGGAGTAAGAATGTAATTTAAAAAAATTAGAACTATTTAGAAAGCAACAGTTAATAGTTAATTAGCATAGTTAGTTTTTCAATTTGAACAAAATATCAATAACGCTACATAAAATCACATAAAAATCTACATAAAAGTAAAAATCTGTAATAAAACCTGAACCCAAAGAAACAACAACAAAAAAAGCAATCTTGAGGATAATAGGAACCTCGGCCAAATAATCAACAAAAAATTGAAATTAAATTTGTTTTACCACAAAGCTAAGGCAATTTTTTAACATGACAAGGATGTCAGTAGTAATCAGCATTTAAAATCAAAACCAAAACTATTGAAAAATCACAAACTTTTAAATCGTATACAAACGAAAAAAATGATTACATTTTTAAACAAAACCCACCTACATTCAACTAAAAAAACACCATAAAAACAGGAGCCTTATGAAGCAGTTGTTTTATTTGCATCAGGAGATAATATTTTAACTGAAGACAGTACTGCTGGAGGAGAAACTGTAGGAGTAACTGGACGAATAATCGACACTCCCTCTACGAGATCCACTCCTTGAGCCAGTGCGAGATCCAGCCCTAGAACCAGAGCGAGACCCTGGGTTGGACACATTGTAAGGGCTGCTTATTCCTTTGGTGGACACAGAGGAAGCCTGCAGCATCTTCATTCCATTGCTTTCTTCCACCATGCAGCTGTCCATGGCTTCTTTGTAGGAGATCTTCAGCTTCGTCTTTGGACAAGTCAAATTCTTCTGATGGTTCCGAGGTTCTTGCAACTTCTGTGCCCCTTTACCATCTAGCCAGCCTTTCCGGATGGCTTCTTCAATGCTGACACGACGTCCTGTGTGTGGTTCTATTAGACCCCCTGTCAAATACTGAAACTCCAAAAACCTTTGGCCTGCCTCGTAGGGCAGCCAGTTCTCTTTTACTGCCTCAGCCGCAGAGAGCTTTCGTTTGGTTTTCACATCCTCAAAACCAATGTAGGCTTTCTGAGAAGCTTTTAATTTAGCAACCATGGTGTCATCAATGATACTCTGATGGAGGGCATCTTCAAGTGACAGACGGTCACCGGTTGCAGGGTTGATGATCCCACCAGTGCAAGCCTGAGCTTCCAGCAGTCTTTGTGCTGTAAGAGTGTCAACGATGCCTCTTTTGAGCCCCTCAGTAACAGTTATTTTCTCTAAAGTCTCTGTGTCAAATATGGCTGCTACAGGACTTTGGTCATCAAACATTCCTGGGGGAGAGACTGTAATTGAAATGCTGCTCAGGCGTTTACGAACAGTAGGGGAAGATGGTGTGGCTTGGGTGGGGCTGCTGCATGTGACCATGTCATCAACACTGCTGGCTGCAATAGTCATCTCAGTACTGCTGGTCTTGCTAGTAATTTGGTCAGCAAACTCTGTCAAGGTTAGTGTTCCGGCACGGTACTGATCTAACGTCTTTTGGTCAATGATAGAATGATCTATACAGTCTTGAATGTCATACTGAGTTCCAGTTTTTCTGTCCACGATCACCAAACGTGCTGAGCCATCTGATCCTGAGATAGTGATTTCCTCCCACTCACATTCTTGCTCTGACAAGTCCAGGAACGTTTCATAGTCAATTAGATCCTTATGATAGGCCTCCCTGACTGACATCTCCAGCCCTGTGTCAGGGTCAACAATTACAACACGCCTTTTACGGAGCACATTGGTGCGACTTTCTTTTGACTGTTGAGCCTTTTTCTTGTCTTTGAGGGGCAGAAGTATTAACCCTGTTTTTGTATCTGTGATGCATCTCTCCTTCAGTTGAAGATATGTCAGGTTCTCCTTGGTATTTGGGTCAAAGAACCCTTTTGTGTCATCTCCTTCGTAGCTTAAGATCTCATTCATCTCCTCATCAAAATATCCTCTTTTATAGGCAACAGAAACTTCAATGCGGTGGCTCTCAACTGGGTCAATAATTCCACCACTGGCAATTTGGGCCTCAAGCAGCCGGATCCCATGACCTTTCTCAATAATATCTTTTGCAATAGCCTGGAAGAGAGAGATTGTCTTGCCTGTTGTTGGGTCTGTGTATCCAGTTACTGCCCTTTCTGCTGACATGAGCTTAGACTTGAACTCCTTTCCTATTATGCCTCTTTTGGTGGCTTCTTCTACTGTCAGGAAGACATTGTTAACTGGATCAACAATGAAGCCTGATGCAGCTTGTGCTTCAAGAAGCTCTAGGGTGGTTCCTCTCATTAACAGTCCTTCCTTCATTGCCTGATAGAAAGGCATTATCCTGTCATTGACCTCATCATAGATACCTGCGATACAAGTGGAGCCATAGAGATATGACTTTAGCTTGTCTTCAATGTCTCTTGCAGTGAGTGTACCCTGGTTGAGTTTTTGCACATCACTTTCATTCAGCAGCTCAGACTTAACTAGTTCTGTGACAGAGACATTCCCACGGATACCCTTAACTGTCACGGGTTTTTCTGGACCTTGGAGCAGGAGCAAGCCAGACACTGGTTCAAATGTGCACTTCCTTCTAAGGTCAGTATATGTGATCTTCTCTTCTGTTGCTGGGTCCAGGTAGGAGGCTGGCTTTTTATTCAAAGCCCTATAAAGATCATCATCTATGAGATTACGATCCAAGGCTAGATCTTTTGGAAGATACACACTCAGCACGGGGTCTATTATGCCCCCAACAGACTCCTGAGCCTGGAGCAACCGGATGGCAGTTTCTTTGTCAATATGACCTTTTTTATAAGCCTGTCCCACAGACAGCACCTTGCCGGTGTATGGATCCTTGAACCCTGTGCTGGCGGCTTCAGCTTTCAGTAAAACATCTCTATCTTCTGTGTCTACAATCCCTCTTGAACAGGCAGTATCCACAGGCATCTTCTCATTAAATGCAGGGTCCACAATGTAGCCTGTTGCTGCTTGAGCTTCCAACAGCATGATGGCACTCTCTGGGCTGAGGAGTTTCTTGTGTTTGGCTTCGGTGAACGGCATTTTTCCCTGTGAACTTGTCTTCATTCCAGATATAATGCCAGTGCCTTTTAAACTAACCTGGATGTCCACAGCTACTTCCTCCACGGTCTTTTTACCCTGTAACAGCATTTCCAAGGTAGCTTTACTGATTATACCACAGTCACAAAGTTGGTGGGCTGTGACTTTCCGGTGCACACCATCAAATACAAGCTTTGATGGATCAATTGTCATGATTTTCTCATCTGTCTGGGTCTGAATGTTAAACATAGCTGGTCTCTTCAGTCTAAGAATCTCTCTCTCTAGGGCATCTTTCTTCATAGCCAGATCAGATGCCTCCTTTTCTGAGATCACGAGACGTCTCTTATATGTTTCCTCCAAAGTATGAATCTCCCTCCTCAGCCTCTCAATCTCATTGTTAAGGGATTGCCTCTCTCGGTCAGCCTTGCCCTTGTCTGACTCGCACTGTCTAATCTGGAATTCTCTGGACTGAAACTGAGTCTTCATAGAGGTTAATTCTTTATGGATAGAATCTCTTTCATTTTGCAAATGCTGTTTGTTGCGAAGCTCGGTCTCCAGAGAGAACTTGATGCGGCCAAGCTCCTCTTCTAATCTCTGATTACGGTTCTTGTCCTGCTCCAGCATTTTAAGCTTGGAGAGCAAGCTGTCCCTCTCCAGCACTAGGTCAGTATATTTGCTTTGGGAGTCATGCGCCAACTTGGAGGTCTGTGAAAAGATAACAGAAAGAGCATTATAATGTCATTAACT